GGTTTTTCATCATCTCCAAATGAGGAAAAATTCTAAACTCTTGACTTGCATTTTAATACTTGCTTTTTATGTTTTGGAAGAAGATCTTGTGTAGATCAGTGTCATTTAATCTCAGCTGGGAACTGAGGCCCACCCAGCTGCTCACTCACTCCCCCATGGTAGAATGGGAGAGAATCAAAGAGTGAGAAAACTTGTGGGTTGCGATAAGTCCAGTTTAACAGGTAAAGCAAAAGCCATGTGCACAAGCAAAGCAAACCAAGGAGTTTATTCACCACTTCCCATGGCATCTCCAGGGAGGAGGACTCCATCACATGTAACAGCTGCTTGGGAAGGCAAATGCCATCACACTAAATGTCCTCCCCTTCCTCCTTCTTTCCCCAGCTTTATATGCTGGGCACGATGTCATACAGTCTGGAATATCTCTTTGGTCATTTGGGGTCAGGTGTCCCTGTTATGTCTCTTCCCAACTTCTTGTGCACCTCCAGCCCACTCACTGGAGTGGTGGGATGAGAGGCAGAAAGGGCCTTGACTCTGCATCGGCACTGTTTCCAGCACAAATCAAAAACACAGCGCCATGCCAGCTACTGTGAAGAAAATGAACTCTACCTCAGCCCAAACCAGCACAATCAGCATCTGCAGGGTTCTGCTTGGTTCATCTCCCTTCTCTTCATGATCCATTCAAAAGTATAAATTATTGGTATCTGGCTGGTCCCAGGTGTCCATGGGATATGCAAGATTTGTTTACCCCTAGTTTCCTGTTTCAGAAGAGCCAGCTCCTAGTTAGCATGGATTATTGAAGCCTGTGCACAAAAAAAAGGAGTGAGCTGATTTGGCAGCATGAGCCCACACTGAGCTAGACATAGAGGAGGGAGTACTGTCCAACCACTGCTGCTTCTGCAGGTCCAGCAGCATGGTCTGGTGAGGGCAAACTGGGCTGTTAATTTGTAGCCATGAATTTGTATTTGGAGAGGCTGATCACAGCAAAGATGATTCCTATATTTATAACAGTAGTTCAGAACAACTATAGTAAGGATGGGAAAAGGAGTCTTCTTGTTGCCCACAGCCTACTAGCCTACCAGCTATTTGTTGCTAATAGGCCCCAGCACACCCTCCATGCCTGCTTAGCAGTGAGCAGCTAGAGGGACAGAAATGTAATTCTGCATACAGGTTCTGTTTATTAAGGAAAAAAAATAAAGTTGGGACAGATGTTTCTCAACCTAGAATCCTCCCTGACTGTGGCCAAGGAGAAAGGCTATGGCTTCAGCATGAGTAGTAGTTGACTGGAACCATCAAAATTATGCACAAGTGAATTTAGACTTTTGCATTCAATTCTTAGGCTTGTGTGTGGAAACCAGTATGTTCCCGTACTTAGTTGCCCATCTCTGTGGGTGGTGTGTTGCTTTGGACAGCTTTCCTTGATGTAGGTGTGTTTCTAGCCCAATTACATCAGCTGACTTCCAGTTTGCAGGCATGAAGGAAAGATTGCTCGTCTAGGGAGTACTGGGATGGAACAGAGTTGCTTTTCTCTATTGCTTCTCCTGTTCTTCCACGTCCATTTTGTCTTTATTATGCATTTATTGCTACACTTTGTTCTCCTCTGGATAATACTTTATGTAAATTGTTTCTTGGGAGAGTTTATATCTAAGCTTTCTAGAACTGCCTTTACTATGTATGATAGTACCTGAATAATAGCTGAGGATGAGACAGATGAAACGTGATAGAGGTGTTTGGGATAGATCCACGGTAAGGCTGAGTGGGAAGATGGAGTAGGGAGCTGGTAAGCACATGAAGCATTTTCAAAGTCTGTAATGGGGGGAGAAAAGATATTAACATTTTTGAGGAAGGTAAATCCTCGGAGTGTTCACTGTTGCTGGCAAGGAGCAGGAAAGATGTCTGGTACTCTTGGAAATACTACTAGAAGTACTAATACTTCACCAAGCATTTCAGCATGGTTAGAGGTGGTAAAGGCGGGCGTGAGTGTTCTGTGTTCCCTATACATACAGAGTAGCCTTGAGAGATCAATATTCTGTTTGTATGTAGATCGTCCCGGTAGAAGAGTACGAGTGGGACTGTGTTGGAGGACTGCTCTGGAAAAGCCCTTGTGCAGTTGGCCGGAGGGGAGACCAGAAGCCTGAGAAAATCTGTGCCTTGTGCTGACATGAATGTCTGGCTCTTGCTTTTCCCTTCTTGGAGGGGGCAGGAGCAGGGAGAGCTGAGCAGGCTGGCTCTGTGCTTGGGACGTGGCTGCGCCTCCACCGGGCTGGGCTGCTGGACCGTCCAGCTGCTGTGGTACGCCACTCTTGGAAGAGGGCAATTTTTATTCTTGCAAGTAAATCTTGAAAATACAGGGATCCTGTACTTAACAGGACTTCAGAAGAAGAGAGGGTTTGCTTGAGTAACCTGAAGTGGAAAGCATAGCGTAGTTAGCTTGAGATAGAATTATTTTTTTCTTAACATTTTAAATTACAAAGTTCATGGACCCTTCATGTTGGCAAACTATACGTTCCAATCAACAGAAAAGGCAGAAGAGCAGCTCTTGAGTATTTCCTGCTTTTGACAAATGAAGAACTGAAGGTGTAATATCAAGTCTAAGAAGGAATGACCATCTTGCAGAGGAAGATCATTTAGCCCAGAGCCAGCAGTGCGAAGACTGCAATTTACACTTTCTCACTTTGCTTCTTCTGGCTTTGCTAGGCTGTGCCAGTGGCACCTCCTGCAGCTGCAGCCCCCAGGGACTGTCATTCCCACCTCTGCTTTGCTTCCTCTGTAATGCCAATCAAAAACATGTTTCTAGTTTCAAGTAATACTTCTGGGCAAGAACTATTTTAACAGATTCCGTATCAGTGATCCAACCAAGAGTCAAGTGGTAGTGCTGGTGTGGTGGTCAGTGGGTAGTAACAGAGGAAAGATACCCCATAAGAAAGCACTGTTATACAGGAAAAAGTGTGTGGAAATGCATGTTGAATACCATTACTAATATCTTCTCTTTAAGGGTTTAATAATTGTCTCTTACTTTTCTGAAAATTGCAAATTACTGTTGGTTGGTTCTATATATAGTAGCTATGGAAGGGAAGCAAAAAAACCTTTGAGCATAACAAGTATAAATATATTACTTATATATTACGTATATAAATATATGACAAATATATTTTGACATATATTGTCAAAATGCAACTTGAAATTGACAGGAAGACTTTTTGATTGAATAGAATTGCCCAGATAGTCAGAATTTTCAACCCTAAGTTCAGTATGATACTGAAAGTTGAACTTCTCTTGTGGTTGAACTGCATCTCTGATGTTACATCACAGATTTAACAGTTTACACCATGAAGCTGTTCAGCTCTGCTAATGACAATATGCTGATTACTGAAAATGCCATCATTTTAACCATGCCTTTCTTTGGTTTGGGGTAGATTTGTCACTGTTTGAACTCAGGCACTGATTTCAGTGTGATTCAAGTGGAATGTCTGATTCCTGAACTGTACTGAAGCAAAGAGTCCCATTGTGATCTAGCTGTACTGACTGAGTTTAAAACAAACTTTTAAACGGTTGATATCTGTGTGCGTGCCCTGTGTGTTACTTGGAGCAGAAGACAGCTGTAGATGTCAGCGGCCTAGTCTGCAAGGATCCTACAAGGATAAGAAGATAGGGAGAATATCATCTTGAAAGTGCTCATTGATTTGAAATTACAAAGTCCTCTTAAAAAGTACTTTGCTTCAGTGTTATTGTCATTGGCAGTACAGCTCAGTTTGTCAAACCACTGCTGCTGCGGAGACTGCCAAATAAGTGTCTCCTTCCTGGCATGATTCTTCTTTCCCATCCACTGCATTTTGAAATGCTTCACTCACAGTGCAAATTTTATCTTTAAAAGAAATTATTTGCAAAAATATTGGAAAATACTCAGATAAATAAAGAGGTATTATTTGTATATGATAGTGTGATCTAACTTTTATCCCCTGGTCTTGTTGCTACTCTAATGGTGCAGCCTTTTTTTTTTCTTTTTTTTTTTTCCCCCTGAGATCTCAGATTAGCATATTCTGGGCAAAGTTGTGCACTGTAACTGCCATAGCTTGAACTGTTCCTAGGCTGATGGATGGCTGGCTTTAACAATGTTGATTCTTGCCTGTGGGAAAAGCCAGAAATGATGCAGGTATAATTTAGATAACTCTGGGATGAACTACATAAATTGAAAACCTTATCCTTTGCTGCCTTTGGCACATATCTCTGCACCACGTTAGTAATTTTTCTTGCCTTAAAGGCCTGCATTAGAGGGTTCTTCTAAGTTCTTAGAACAAAGTTACGTCCTGGAGTTGATGTGGTAATGTCCTTCAAAACAGCTCCTCTTTCCTTGGCTCCTAGGCTAGATAGAAGCAATGCTCTATATTACACTCTCCACTGTGTTGGAAAAATCTAGAATGATAAAACATTAAAATAGGTAAAAAAGAAATCAAATCTTGGGAGACCATAGGAACTAATTCTCATGAGATGCAATGTAGTGCTACTTAGTTGTAAAATTAGAGCATGCTGCAACATCTGTTAATTAGGTCATATATCTGGTGCTGAGTTTTGAATCATGGGTATTTGATAAAGTGATAACAGAACTTGGAAAACTAGTTTTGATGTTTAAGAGCAATATACATCTTACACGTGTGACAATCTGAAGCAAATTGATGCAAATTAGTAGCTTTTAGCATACTGATTAGGAAGATATTTTGCTTTTTATTATTCTCAGTACAGATTAGCTTAATTTTTAAGTCTTCATACACTGGTTTTTGTAATTTAGCACTTCTGCAAAGCAGATTTGAAACATTTGCAACGTTTCTGTGGTCAAAAAAGAGCACACTGACTTTTAATGTTATAAAAAATCTTACACAGTAGGACTCTTCAGTCAGTCTAGATTGTGGATACATGAAAATAAAAGGCAAGATTCATTAGGCTATCTGTCAGAACTGGAAAATAAAATAAAATAAAATTCAATTATGGTCTATGTTGCTCTTTAGATCTCATAAATGGAGCCCAAGAACAGTGTGAATTGCCTCCTATGGATGGTTTTCCTCACTGTGAAGGGAAAATAAAGGTAAGTGAACTAGTTTTAATGGTATTATATGTGTTCTCTTAGAAAAGCTGAACATATATTGCAAGAGGTCGCTACTCTGACAATAGTGTAAAGCAAGAAACTGAATCAAAAAATGATATGTAGGAGTGTGTCACTATAGCATTGCTCACCTCATGCCTTTAATACTGCTGCTGCAGAAAAATAAAGGGACATCCTGTTAAGACAGGAATAAAATGTATTAAATAATATGCTGTATTATGTAATAAAATGTCTTCTAATTTGAATGCTTTCTTGTTATTTAGAAACGTTCTTCTCCTTTTTGGAAAGCCTTGTTTTCTTCCCCATTATGAGTCATTTGGCATTCCCCTACCTCAGGACTGTGATTCTGTGTGTACCTCACTCCAGCCCTTTCTCGGTTTCAGCAAGACATTTGTTTACACTTCTTTCCTTTCTTTGCCAGCAGCTCTGTCTGGTTCCCTTCTTGCCCTTCCTTGTTCAAAGCATTCTAGATAGGCACTATACGACGTGTGCAACCAGAACTTTGGTGTTCACAGTTGATTATACATAAATCCTGTTTTGCTAATAATGCAGTTGGAGAGCCCACATATTGAAAGCTATCACACTTTGACTGGTGAGGGTGGAGTGTGGGAAAAACAAAACAAGGAACAAACTTGCAGAGATGGAAGGTTATGGGTTTTGTGTTGTTGGGTTTTTTTTTTCATTAAAAAAAAAAAGAAATTCAAATATAAAGACATTATTTTAGTAGTGAAAGACAAAGTAAAATTGCTGGACATTTAAATGTCATTATCAAGTACTACAATTTTTTTCTGAAAGTGAAAACAAGTAACTACTAAAGTATATATGAAATTTTGTTCCCTTTTTTTCTCTAAATAAAATTCTTTGTCAATAGTATTTCAAATAAAACATCTGTAAGTTTTAAATCTCTGGTCTGTGTTTTGATCTGTTTTGACAAACAACTGCACAGTGACTATGTCATACATTATTTGAATATTAAAATATAAATTTAATTACTTCCTTCTGCAGAAATGGCAGGTTTTTTGCAGAATTGGGCAGATTTCAATCTTGGTAACTGAAATGATCTGTTAAATTCCGGAGCAAGTGTAGCACTGGGGGCAGTGCAGTCAATACCAGCTGCACCCAAATGTCTGGATCCTGATTATATTCTTTTGATATTTGTCTCTGCTTGCCTGGCTACCAGGTTGTATAAACTGTGCTCACGTCTGGTATGTAGTTACTTCCCCAACACAGCTGAATGCAGAGATGTAGTATGCTGCAAAATATTAATAAAATTCCTTTCTTATTATTTGTGGATTTTATATGGCTGATGTGTTCACTTGCAGCTTTCCCCTGTTATTCCTGAGTTCAGTGTGAAGTAGTGTAGAGTTATTACATGGTACTAAAACCTAACAGACTGTGTTTTTGTTCTGTTACAGTGGATGAAAGATATGTGGCGATCGGATCCCTGTTATGCAAGTTACGGTGTAGATGGGTCCACATGCTCCTTTTTTATTTACCTCAGTGAGGTCAGTAATCTTTTAATCTGCACAAGGGGAACATCATAGTGCCTCCGTATTTTTGGTGACTTTGCAAACTTTTCTCTAAAGAAATCATTACTTTATTCAGAAAAATTCTATAAAGAGGGAAAAGTTATTAAAATGGAGTTTTTATGAAGGGTGTTGCTATTATTCCCAAGCCCTCCAGGGGTTTCTAACCTGCAGAATTCTAGAGTTTACAACTGAAGTGATGTAAGCAGCAACTCTGTAGGGAGTTCATGCTAGGTATCCTGTTAAACCATAGTATGAACTCGGTCACAGATCCTTGCCTCGGAACACTTTCTCTCTTGCTTTCTATGTAGCTCCTGAGGTAGTAGTAGGGAGGCCTTTTAGGGGAGGCATTTGGAACAGAAAATTTGGAAAATGGAACTAGATGGTACATCCTCCTAAACAGCATGGCCTCTTCCTGTCTGGAGTCTGTTCATCAATTGTGTCTGTTGGCAGAAGACAAAAACCCCCCAAAAGTCACATTTTTGAGTGGAGTTACAGATACATTAGCTAAAGATTTTGGGTACCTGTTGGAACCAAAGGCCCAGTTTTGTGAACACCTAAATAAGTGCTTACATGGTGGTTTTGTACAGAACTCCTGTTTCTTGCATATCACTTCTTTTCCAAGAATGAATTTTATCAATCAATTATTATGAGCTCTATCACTGGCTTGTAGTGTGTGTGCCAGAAGCCAGGTGTATAAGATCACCTGAGCTTTTCTTTCTCACTAGTAAAATTCTGATAACTTATGGCAGCTAATCTTAGAAGTAGCATTGATATCTAGTGGCTTACTGCTTGTAAAGAACTGCAAGAGCCAATGTGCATGTAGGATTGCAAACTAATAGTAAGATTGTAGTTTCTGCAGGTTTGAAGGGGTGGGTCTGGATTTTTAAATTACAGATCTGATATTAAAACAGTAAGTCTGTGGTAATGTATCAAAGAGCTATATAATATATGATGCATTCTGTATTTTTATGTATATAATATATAAAATAATGTATTACGTAAGTAACTCAGTTGTAATGAAAGCAGTTTTTATAAATTTACTCAGTTGACTGTCATTGAACTTTTGGGAGCACTGCTTGAAGCAGCAGTAATAGTTAAATGCATATCCCAAACACATATTTGAAGAAATAAAAAAAGCTGAGTTGAATCACAGACTTGACTCATTCAATTTCTTGTACCAAGTGTTGATTTATTTATGGGCCATAGAGCTGAGGAAGGACAAGATGCAGGATGACTGTATTATTTATCCAGTTATTTATTATATAGAGATACAGTTTCATAATCATCTGAAGTTTCTGCTAAGAGGCTGTATTTTAGCATCAGTGGAGCTACATTTGTGCATTAGTGTTCTGTCAACCAGCAGAGCTTCATCTTTTTAATGCAGATGCATCTTCATTTTTAAGATATGTCAACTGAATGTGAAAATCTAATGTTCTTAAATGACATCTATTTTGTATTTCTGTAAATCATAGTATTTTCTATGACAGTCTTCTCTGATCATCAGTTTTGAAAACTCAGTTGTTGCTGTTAGTTTTTTCATAATTATCTTTCCGCTCATCATGATGGCAAAATGCAAGCAGATTTACAGCTGTCAAATGGCTGGTTTTTTCAAAGGTCTAGGGGTTTGAAATTTTTCTTTGAGCAGCAACATTGAAGTTGGGCAACTTCTGATTTCATGATGGAACAGCTGTACAATTAGTCTACATGTATATTGGGTAACTTCAGATAAGGTCTTGTACTTTTATTGTTTTTTAAGTGTTTTCCCATGACAGAATGTAAAACTAATATTGGGTGAGCATGTTATTAACCTTGAGTTTAAATTTGGCATTCTTAATCCTATGATTAATTCTATGATTAATGCCTAGCAGCAGAGGTTGAAAGCTTAAACGTTTGCGAATGCAAGCATGAAATGAAATTTCTAGTAACATTACAATGTTATGGATTTATGAGGTGTGTTGGCTGCTAAGGATAACTTGGAAATGCTGTAGTGAGAGTAATTTGTCAAAATGGACAGTGATGAAGAGTTGACAGTTTATAGTACGGCTGCACAGCCAAATGATAAATGTGTCTACAGAGCTCTCAAGTCAAAACTGCTGATTTAAAATATTAAAATGCATTAGGGTACTGGGAGGATATTACTGTTAAGATTTTTCTTTTTTCCTTTAAGGTTACAGTATAGGGGAAAGATGGTTGTGTATGCATGCTCTTTTTGAGAAGGCAGTATATGCATCAAATTATGCACAGCCTCAGTTTGAAAAGACAGTATATGCATAAAATTGTGCATATGTCTCATTTTGCTCTTAAAATCACCACTACAGTCTACTGTGACAAAGGAGCACGTGTGCTCTTTCGTACTCTTGGGGATCTATTTGTTGTTCTGAAGCAGTTCAGTTTGTGTATTGTGTTACACTCGTCTAGCACTCCCTGTAACACAATTTTAAACTTGTAAACAAAGGAGCCCCCCCAAATACTACACTTTGGTGTGTCACATGGGTCAGAACCACAGAGAGACAAAGTAATTTGCCCACAGTCTATGCAAAGGTCAAGAAACAAAGCACGGAATAAAGCCTAGCCTCTGAATATCTGTCATGTGCTCTTATCTTTCCACCGTGTATGCCTGCAAAATAGAAACAGCACAGTCAAAATCCAGGCTGCCCCAAGTCTCCTCTTCTGAAGAGCCTGCAGAAGTGCAGGCATTAGCAGATTTGTCTCCTCTGGTTTGCCTTGAGTTGGACTCCTGCAGAAGTGTAAAAACAGCCAGCTCTTCTCTGCTCTCCTCCTTGTGTCTTGGCTGCTTGAGCAGAACTGGAGGCAGGCGTGGCAGCAGAAGGCAAGCAAGAAGTAATCCAGCACATTCAGGTTTATGTTTTTTACTTAAAGCTGTCCCCTGTACAGACTTGCAGATAAAGCTGCAAGAATGTTTGCACTTCTGTCTTGAAGTTTTGCTGCAGGCACTGGATCCCTTCTGGTCGATAATATGCATCTGTGCAGTCCTCATAACACTTAGTCTGCTGGAGCCTTTGAAGACTGGAGGAGTCACAAATGGCCTGAATAGCAAAACCAGGCTTAGATTCTCTTAAATAGCACAACAAGACAGGGATTAAAAGTAGAAAAAATTGAAAAGCAGGTTAAGGTAAATCTAAGGTTTCTAGATAGTTTGGACTTGTTTCCTTTAAACTGTGATATGAACTTGCCCTTTGAGAATAGTTATTTCTTTTTAAACTTAGCATTTAGTTATGAAAAAGCAAGTTGTTTAATACTGTAATGTCACTGGCACAGTTAGAGTTTTCACCAATGGCATTGCCTCTGGGGAGAAATGTGAAAAAAAAATAATTTCTAGTCAGTACAAAAATATATTTCACTGCCAGATGTCGTTTTGCAGGAGAGAATGAAGCTTTTAAAAATATCTTCTAAAAAATGAATTTTTCACATGGTTTCCCAGCCTAACAAAAAAGAAAAGAAGTGGAGGAGTTTTATTGCTTTATTGCACCTTTTATTTATTTAGATATGTGCTTTCTCTCAGAGGACTGCCTGCCACAGGAGTGGAACTGCTGCTGTGCCTGCTGGTCAGCCAGTAGCTGGGATGCAGGTTACCAGTGCCCAGGGGTCATCTCATTGATGCTTACCTGCAGGAGCTGGGCAGAGCTCATTAAAAGAGATCCCAGGCTCTGGATCTCCAGCTCACCTTTCAGGTGCAAGTGTATTTTTTTGCTACCCATCTTGAAGTGAATCCAATGCTTGAAAAGTCTAAAACTGTTTCAGAGCCCTGTCACTGAGACTCCTGTAGCTTTTGCATGTGTGCTAGTGTACCACCAGACAGAATTAGTGTTTTTAGACCTTCAGACTTCATGGAAACAGAATGCATTGTTTGGTTGCAGGGGTATTTTTCTTTACACCGTTAATTTTGCTTTGAGTGATAAAGCAGAAAATACAAATTGAAAGTGGTTTTGAATGTGGGTTTGTTTCCAGAATAGAAGGTGTAGTCTGAGGCACATTCTGGTGAAAATACCTGGGAAACATAATTATACTGGTTCCTTAAATGTTTGTGGTTTTGCTAATTTACTGCAGTTTGCTCACATCTGTGTGGAAGTCCCCTTTCCACAACTTATATTTGTAATTTGGTTTCTGACCCTGAGGTGAGTTAATGATTTGCATTTCTTCAGTGTAATGTAACATCAAACGAACTTCTTTGAATTTTATGCAATTGCCCAGAAAGTTGACAAAAATAGTATTGTCTGAAATGTAAAGCAGCAAAATCTGAACTTCTTCAGTCACCTTACATTTGTCTCTAAGAAACTGAAAGCCTAATGATACTCAGCTCTTTGTCCCCAAATCATCCATTAGCACGTTGGGTCTGGGTTTGGATGATTTGGGCTCAGTTATCTTTTCTACTTCTATCACTTTAAACTAGAAATAGTCTTTTTCTGTCTTGTTGGAGCAGGTGTAGATGCCAGTGTAAGATGGGAAATCAAATCTAGTGCACATTACTGCAGTTAGATAAGAGCCCGTTTGTTGGTTGGTGGCATGTATAACATTTTGTGTGGCAGTGTCACTGGGGCTGCGGGTACCTAACACCCAGTGTTCGAGATTGCCTTTGGGAACAACCAAATCCAAAGTTTAACTGTACACTTTTCCATCTCACTAAGCAGGCAGACAGTCACCTTGTACACCACAGGTTTTGTAACACCTTCAAAATAGCTACCTATCACAGAGGAAATGCTAAACAAGGTGTTAGAGCCTCTAGAGGAGTTGAGAAAGTCACCTTCCCAATGGGAGCAGTTCTTTCACATCAAATTATCAAATGGTTTTTCTAACTCTAATTTTGCCTCTACGTTCCTACTTTCTCTTGTGTCAATACATAAAATTAATAAGGTTTTTTCTTCTTACCATGTTATGTCAGACTCATCATTTACTTCATCTTTGCTTTCTTGATGCTCTTGTTAATTAGTATCTCCCCATCTAACAGCTCTTTGTGAGCCACTGGCTCATAAAAATTAGTAGAATCCTTTCCTTTTTCTATAAGAGAATGCCTATGCATTTTTCCTAGTGCATTTATCAGTCCTGAAAAATAATAAAGCAACTGGCAAACTTCGAATTCACTTAAAAATCCTCTGGTGACTTAAATTGGGCTTTAGAATGAAAAGAGGAATTTACTGATTATCAATAAGAAAAAATGAGTGCTAGACCAACAGCGTACACTGATTGTACTTTGAGGCTACTCCTTAAATGTTTACTTGTGATTAGAATTACTGTATTTTAATTTAGAGTAAATATTTCTAGAAGCACAGAATAACAATTTTTATTTTTTGGTCAGTGAGGCATGCAGCTAACTGTCCTTGGCAGCTCTGAAAAATCTTCAGTCCCTTCAGGATGCCTGCCTGATGGTACAATGTGAAATACATGAAGCTAAAAAAGGGGCATGTACAGTAATCCTTGAAATGTCATATCTTAATTTATATCAGTTTTAATGCTAGGAGTAATTCAGTATGATTTATAATATTTAAAACAAAAAAAAAAAAAAAAAGGGATTGGGACTGTGCATTATTTGCAATATGGAGCTTGTAACTCTACCAGTGATTCCACAACACATTAAAAGTTATGATTGGTAATTACTACAATTTCTAGTGTTTCCAGAGTTGGAGACCTCTGAAGAATCAGATATTTTCAAATGAGGTCGATCAAGGAAGTCACTGCTTTCAAATGTTGTATTAAATACATTGAGTAGATTAAGTCATAACATTCAATTAATACTTTTATAAGCTAAAATTGTGTTTTGACAAATCTGTGATCAGAGGAACCATAAGAGCAACTCTGACTTCTAATTCTCTGGCGGTTGTGAACGTAGTAGGAAGTGATGGGGTATCTTAGCTGGCCTGTAGATTTTTGTGTTTCTCCCTTTTCACAGTATAGTTACATTTCTGTTTTCATGGGTTTGCCTCCAACAGTGAGATTCCTTCTTCCCCAAAGCTAATGGTCTGATTTGTTGAGGCACATGAGCAATAAAGATTCTAGAGAACAAGCAAGATCCCTAAGGGGAGAGCACAGGAGCTTCCTGTGACGTGCATCCATTTGCTGTTTCTTCCCTAAATGCTAATTATTATACATAATTTTTTTTTCTAGTAGATAATAGCATAAGTATTGGATTTGCACTGATGATGTTTCTCTAAGAATTACAGCAATTAGTACTTGTGGATATTGTAACTTAAAATTATGTTGCTTATACCCATCAAATAGGGTAGGTTTGGTTTTATTCTTCTTTCAGCTTTTTGCCTAGATTGCTACAAGGTGGAAGTTTGATCCTCGGGGTTTATCAGCCTTTGCCTTTTTAGAAAGGTATTCTAGGGAGATATTAAAAAATAGGGGTTTTTTTAAGGGCTAGAAGTGTAAAAAACTTAGTGCTTTTTGAAAACATTTGGGAACTGCTCAAAGAAACTGTATTTAGAGCGTTTAACAGCTGACCTCTGTCTTGAAAGGGTTTTATCTCCTGTATTCATTATCATGAATTAATATCTAAGTGCGACTTTTGGTTGCAAATTTGCAAGGTTAAAGTAGTATTGAACTGCAAAAAGTCATCTTAAGCTTTTCTTGCAAAAAGCAATTTTGCCTTGCAGTGACTTGCTAACCAGCTGATGCCTTATTTAGGCCATACAAGGGTAGTATAAAGGTAGTAAGACATTTTGGTAGACCAGCTGGAAGTAGAATAGAATGATTTATTTTCATACGATTGTTTTACAGGTTGAAAATTGGTGTCCTCGTTTACCTTGGAGAGCAAAAAATCCTAATGAGGATACTGATCAAAAAACAGTGGTAAGAATAATGTTAAAATATGAGAAATAATTCAGTAATTGTGATTCATGCAAAAGATCCTGGAATTCCTTGCCACGTAAATGCTAATAAGACTAGTACTTAAGGGTTTTTTTTTTCCTCATTTCCTCAACTGACCATATGAAGCTGCCAGTTTTTGTTGTCTCGTATATCTGGGCCTTATATATAAAAATGCTTTAACGGAAGAGCCTTATAGACATTTCAGTTTTGTGGTAACATTTGAATTACTCCAATTTTTTTCTTTTTCTTTAAAAGCTTTGTAGAGCATGCAGAACCTTTTTCTAAACTGTTACAACCTAATTATATATCACTTAAGTATTTTATAGATAATTCCTGGGCTGTATATGAACAGTGTTTGCATAATTCAGATATAGCAATATACATGAGTCTTCAGCATACTGTTCTGATTTTATATTGTTTTAGAGATCCTATAACCTCATTTTCAAGCACATGAACAAAAATGAATCTTATATTGCAGCAATAGATACATTGTGAAAGATTGTAAACGTATTCTGGGGCTACCAAGTACTAGTAATAAAATAATTTATTTGGCTTAGAAATGTCTTTTTAAACTTATCTTAAATATGTGAACTAAAATCTCGACTTAAGTATTAGGAGTGCATCTTTTTTTAAATGACAAATGTAAAGCACAGAGTTCACATTTGAGAAGTTCTTTCAGTTCTAGAAAGTACACTGTTTGAAGAATAATTAATAGTTGGGGATTTTCTTTAATGCTTTCATTGAAGGCTGAAATTCGCATCAACTTTGATAATCTCTACAAAATGATGTCAAGACATGAGGAGTTCAGGTGGATGATGTTACGCATCAGACGAATGGCCGATACCTGGATTGAAGCAATTAAAGCACTTGCAGAAAAACAAAATTTGGAGAAAAGAAAACGAAAAAAGGTAAATAAAAACATTTATCATCGCTGCACTTGCAGTCATATAAGTTCTTTTTAAGCTTTGTGTTTCAGAAGTATCTTCAGAGTGGAAATTCCAAATATGTCTAAAAGGCTCATGTTTATACTGTACCTCTTTTCACAAAGTATTTATTTGTTGGAAATGACTGCAACAATGTGTGTTTGCTCTACAAATAGTTTTATATACTTTCCATAAGTCAGTCTTTGAGTAAGTTTTCCACCTCCTTCAATTTTGGATAAAACGGAAACTATGCAGAAGTTTCTAAAGGGAGAAACTGTGAATTTACTCCAAGCGGATGATGCTGGAGTGTTTTAGGTAGTTGTAGAAAACAACTGCAAGTGAAATAACGTCTGAGAATACTGACCTGGCTTGAGGTCAGGGCCACCACCAGAACCATAGCAGATGCTCTCTGTTAACCCCCTTCCCCACCCCACCCCCAATGGCAAGATGAGAGAGAGTTTTCAGTTAGAAAAGGAAAACAGCTTTAATACTACCACTAATAATAATAGTGATAATGATAATAAAATGGAATATATACAAATACATACTAAATCAGTATCGAACCCAATTCCCCCCCGATGGCAACACGTCACCATCCCCCCTGGCTGTGGAGCAGCCCCCAGGGAAGGTCCCAGGCTGGACTCGGCTGCAGACGGCCGCCGGGGCCAGGG